TCAGCAAGAAGTCTTTCAATAGATTAATGTACAAAGAAATGTTGGTAAATCTACAATACAATCTTATTTGGTGTTACAGTGACATGAATTCTGAAAGCATGAAAAAACCATGAAGGATTCTTTGAATATTAATAAGTGAAAGAATAAAAAAAATGGCTGCATATTGTACAATTCCCAATATGTAAACTTTGGAAAATGCCACATTATGGTAAGACTGAAATGATCATTTGTTGCCAAGAGCTTGTAGGCTAGGTAAGGATGAACAGGCAGAGCACAGAGGATTTTTAGGACAGCGAATGCAGTGCGTGACTGTACACTAGTGGTTACATGTTAGTGTACATTAGTCAAAGCGTACAGAATGTGCAGGACAAAGAGTCAACCCTATGTAGTCTATGATCTGTGAGTGTCCACGTTGGTTTGACTCTATCTAATGAACCACCCTCCTGAAGCTTGCTGATTATGGGTGGATGTGGGCAGGGTGTTTGTAGGAACTTTACATTTAGGTTTGCTGTTAAGAAAAACTTCTTTAGAAGTTAAATTTTGTTAATTAAAAAGAATGACAATTCTGACAAAGCTGAGGTTTTTATACTGTGAATCTTGAGGGCTTCCTGCTGATACCCTCCTGAGTATTTGGACTGGGATGAGAATTCTGTGCAATGGGAAGTAGAAAATCACTGACTGGGGAGCTGCAAAAACAGGATTCTAAGAGAAGGTTTTGCACTGCTGCATTGGTGACACTTCATCTCACTTGGTCACTGATTGTTCCTCGTTCCTTAAAAGTAATGTTCACATGTGGGCTAGAACTGCACCTCAGTGGATGAATGGATTAAAAAAATGTGGCATTTATACACAATGGAATTTTACTCAGCAATAAAAGAGAATAAAATCATGGCATTTGTAGGTAAATGGATGGTGTTGGAGAAGATAGTGCTAAGTGAAGTTAGCCAATCCCCAAAAAACAAATGCTGAATGTTTTCTCTGATATAAGGAGGCTGACTCATAGTGGGGTAGGGAGGGGGAGCATGGGAGGAATAGATGAACTCTATATAGGGCGGAGGGGTGGGAGGGGAAGGGAGAGGGCAGGGGATTAGCAAGGATGGTAGAATGTGATGGACATCATTATCCAAAGTACATGTATGACGACACGAAATGGTGTCAACACACTTTATATACAACCAGCGATATGAAAAATTTTGCTGAATATGTGTAATAAGAATTGTAATGCATTCTGTTGTCATTTTTTTATCAATAAAAAAGAAAAAAACGTAAACTTCACACACTTGATCTCAGAGAACTCTTGTATCTTTAAATTATTTTGTATTCTTTCATCTATCAAAGGAAAGGGCCAGGCAGTATTCTCAGGTCAACAGGAGGAAGGAGTGGAAGAGGGACACACATCTCTTAGGAATAAAGTGATTTCTGTGGAAAAAGCAATTGAGATGATTTTACCCAAAATAAGTCAATCAGATTCTTTTTAGAGTTCAGAGCTCTGTGGGTCAAGCAACAGACTACTACTTGTTTTGCCTTGCAGGTAGTCATGCCCTGCCATGACTTGGGATCACGCCATGTTCTGCAGGTTATAAAACTGAACTGTTTTGATCCCTATTTAGTCAGTCGTTTGTATAATTATTAACAAAATTCATGTTTATTTTGAAAGTCAGTGATTATGATGAATCATGAAATACTGAACCTTGTTGCACAATCAGGAAATGTTGGTGAACACAGTAGAAGTGAATGTCTTTTTTCTTTTTGCTCTTTGATTAACATATTGGTGGTCCATCTTAATGGGTTTCATTGATATTTCCATGCACACATCCAGGGTGTGTTGATTAAATGCAGTTTGTTCTTATCAACCCTTCTCCTATTCATTTGGCAGCCTCTATTAATTATGATTCTACTATCAGGTCAATTTTCTTTAGCTTCCACACATGAGAAAACATGAAGTCCTTATCTTTCTGTGTCCAGTTATTTCACTGAATAAAATGTCTTCCCTCATTCCATCTATTGTGCTGCAAAGGACACTATTTCATTCTGTTTTATGGCTGGATAATATTAGAATGTGTATTTATATAGGCCCTCTAGTCACTTCACAGATTATTTCTTTTGCCGAGAAGAAACTTTTTAATTTGAGTCCATCCCATTTATTGATTCTTGATTTTAATTCTTCTGCCAAAGGAATCTTATTAAGAAAATTGGGGCCTAATCCCACCTGATGGAGATTAGGATCTACTTTTCCTTCTATTAGATTCAGGGTCTCTGGTTTAATTCCTAGGTCCTTTGAGTTGAGTTTTATACATGGTGAGAGATAGGGGTTTAATTTCATTTTGTTGCATATGGATTTCCAGTTTTCCCAGCACCATTTGTTGAAGAGGCTATCTTTTCTTCAATGAATATTTTTGGTGCCTTTGTCTAATATAAGATAATTATAATTTTGTGAGTTAGTCTCTTGTGTCCTCTATTCTGTACCAGTGGTCTACCAGTCTGTTTTGGTTCTAATATTATGCTGTTTTTGTTACTATTGCTCTATAGTATAGTTTAAGGTCTGATATAGCAATGCCACCTGCTTCACTCTTCCTGCTAAGGATTGTTTTAGGTATTCTAGATCTCTTATTTTTCCAGATGAATTTTATGATTGCCTTTTCTATTTCTATGAGGAATGTCATTGGGATTTTAATTGGAATCGCATTAAATCTGTATAGTGCTTTTGGTGGTATGGTAATTTTGATAATATTAATTCTGACTATCCAAGAGCAAGATAGATCTATCCATCTTCTAAGATCTTCATTGATTTCTTTCTTTAGGGTTCTGTAATTTTCCTTATATAGATCTTTTACCTCTCTCATTGATTCCCAAGTACTTAATTTTTTTTGACACTATTGTAAATAGTTTTCCTTATTACCCTTTCTGAGGATTTGTCATTGATATACAGAAATGCATTTGATTTATGGGTTTTAATATTATAACCTGCTACTTTGCTGAATTCATTTACTAGTTCTAAAAGTTTTCTGGTAGAACTTTTTGGGTCTTCTAGGTGTAGAATCATCTCATCAGAAAATAGTGCCAATTTGAGTTCTTCTTTTCCTATGTGTATCCCTTTAATTTCTTTCATCTGTCTAATTACTCTGGTCAGTGTTTCAAGAATTATGTTAAATTGAAGTGGTGAAAGAGGGCATCCCTGTCTTGTTCCAGTGTTTAGAGGGAATGCTTTCAATTTTTCTCCAAAATCTTTACTCCTCACAGATAGAACACTAATCTCTAGGGTATATAAAGAACTCAAAAAACTAAGCACCAAAAAAACCCAAATAACCCAATCAATAAAAGGGCCAAGGACCTGAACAGACACTTCTCAGAAGATGATGTACAATCAGTCAGCAAATATATGAAAAAATGTTCATTATCGCTAGCAATTAGAGAAATGCATATCAAAACTACTCTAAGATTTCATTTCACTCCAGTCAGAATGGCAAATATTATGAATACAAACATTAATAAATGTTGGCGAGGATGTCGGGAAAAAAGGTACACTCATAGACTGCTGGTGGGACTGCAAATTGGTGCAGCCAATATGGAAAGCAGTATGGAGATTTCTTGGAAAATTGGGAATGGAACCACCGGTTGACTCAGATATCCCTCTCCTTGCTCTATCCCCAAAGGATAACTACAGGGACACAGCCACATCAATGTTTATAGCAGCATAATTCACAATAGCTGAACTATGGAACCAACCAAGATGCCCTTCAGTAGATGAATTGATAAAAAACTGTGGCATATATACATAATGGATTATTACTCAGCAATAAAAGAGACTAAAATCATAGCATTTGCAGGTAAATGGATGGAGTTGGAGAAAATAATGCTAAGTGATGTTAGCCAATCCCAAAAAACCAAATGACAAATGTTTTCTCTGATATAAGGAGACAGATTCATAGTGGGGTAGGGAGAGGAGGTGTGGGAGTAATAGATGAACTCTAGATAGGGCATAGTGGTAGGAGAGGAAAGGAGAGGGTGGGAGGTTACAAATGATGGTGGAATGTCATGGACATTATTATCCAAAGGACATGTATAAAGACATGAATTGGTGTGAATATACTTTGTATACAACCAGAATATGAAAAATTAAGCTCTATATGTCTAATAAGAATTGTAATGCATTCAGCTGTCATATAAAAATAAAAAATTAATAAAAAAGAATGTGTATATATGCCACATTTTCCTTATCTATTCATCTGTCAGTGGGCATCTAAATTGATTTCTTTCTAGTTTTTGCAGATAGTCCCATAATAAACATGGGCATGTGATAAACATCTCTTCATATGCTGATTTCATTTCCTTTGATATTTACTCAAAGGTGAAATTTTACAGCAGTACATTTTACAGCACTAGATCAATTATTTTTTTGGTTTGTGTTTTGAGAAACCTCTATACTGTTCTCTGTAATGACCTTACTAATTTTAATTCTTATACACTTAATCACTAGTGTATAAGAAGTGAATTTCTCCTTGTGGGGAAGGGTACAAGATGCAGGGAAGGTAGTTCCTAGACTCAGGTCTACCACGAGCAGTCTCTGTATCCTTGTCCTATCCTGGACACTGCATCTCCAACTGTATGTTTCAAAACGTATATACAAGTCATGGAATATACTGAATTCCTCAAAGTCATAGATTCCAAATTGGCCTGAAGTGTGTCAATTTAGCATGACGAGTAATTTTCTTGCACACAATTATTAGCTTAAGTATTTCTCAATCATAACAGCACATGAAAATATTTGTTCTTTCTTTTTCTACTAGCTGATAACTGGACAACAACCTAGTACATTTAAATCATAATCTCCAGGGTGCTTTCTAGAAAAGAAGAAATCAATATTTTCTGTTTTATCTGTTATTGGAAGAAAGACTCCTCGAGAGAGATGAAAGTCCACCCAGCTTACTGTTTGTTTTTGTGTCAAAGAGTTACATATTGGATTAGCAGGAGACCATAAAAGTTTGTATAGCAAGGTCACAGTTATCTCAGTAGGAAGAGAAGACTCCAATGGATCCAGTGGTGGCCCTGGTTCTTGGTGTCTCCTGTCTGCTTCTCCTCTCAGTCTGGAGACACAGATCAGGGAGGGGGGAGCTCCCTCCTGGCCCCACTCCTCTCCCAATTATTGGAAATATTCTGCAGATAGATGTTAAGGACATCAGCAAATCCTTAAGGCATGTAAGTATGCTTTGTGCTTCTTCAGTGGCTTGTGAAGGCAAGTCAGTTGACTGCTGTTTTTAAAGATAGTATATTTCTGGAGGCACACTATTTTACCTTGATGTCATGTGCCGCATTAATGCAGTGTTTTATTCAGAATTGTCCTGAATATAGAACTTCTCTGCAGACTCAACAACTTATGCCTGAAAGCAAAGAAATAGCATAAGGATTTCTGCAATAGCATGAGATTGGATACAGCAAAAGGAATGAAAATAACACAATGAATCAGTGTCCAATTGATGATATCAGAATCTTTTGGTTGCTGCAGAAATTCTTTGCCTGGGGTTGGAAATATAGAAGGATGGAAGAAATGGTTCTTCCAGTGGATGTTCATGTCATGGTTCTGCCTCTGCAGTGCCTACTTTGTTTTGGTAACAGCCGAGGACTCCAAACATGGCTGGACATTAGGATCAAGTGTGGTGATTGAAAAACACCACTTTCTAGTGGTCTTAGAGACCTTAGGTCTGTCAGCATCTCTCTGGAAAGAGCTTTGCAGGTGATTCGGAGCAGTCTGCTGGGTATAGCTTTGAAGGTGGGCACTGGGGTGTGATCAAGTGCTGGAGCATCAAATGTTGATTCAGTGACGATCCAATTTTGTTTTCTTTTCTTAGCTATGGAACCCTGAAAATGAATTTGGAATTCACTGATCTCATTTTCTTTATTAATGAAACATGGCAAATAAGACTGCTGAATGCCTTATGTGAAGATTGATTTTAATCCATGTAGGAAAAGCCTTGAAATTGTATGGCACATCAGAAGCCATCCATCAATGGCAGCTATCATGATAATTTATACATGAAATTCAGAAATATGTCCATCTCCATGTGGTAGAATAAAACCATAAAAATAATATTAGCCAGAATCAGCATGATATCTGGTTCAGGTAGTGAGTTGATTTGCTAATATTTGCATTTTCTTTCCCATTTCCAGTTGTCAAAAGTCTATGGCCCTGTGTTCACCCTGTATTTGGGCATGAAGCCCATTGTGGTGTTGCATGGATATGAAGCTGTGAAGGAAGCCTTGGTTGATCATGGGGAGGAATTTGCTGGAAGAGACTCTATCCCAATTTTAAAAAGAAGAAAGAAAAACATTGGTAAGTGCACGTGCATGTGTGTGTTGTGCAGTGGTCATTGGGATGAGCAGCAGCGTGAAGAAAAGAGACCAGAATGGCTCCTGAGGCAGAGCTTGGCCATCCCTGTGGTGTCCCCTAGTAGCTCCTCTGCCTTGTTGGGTCTCCCTTCTAATCTCTTTCCTCTACTGGTAGGTATCGTTTTTAGCAATGGAAAGACATGGAAGGAGATAAGACGCTTTTCCCTCATGACCCTGAGGAATTTTGGGATGGGGAAGAGAAGCATTGAGGACCGTGTTCAAGAGGAAGCCCGCTGCCTTGTGGAGGAGTTGAGGAAAACCAATGGTGGGTGCCTGTTTGTGTCACTGACCTTAACAGAGTGCCCTCTTCTCTAGTGACTTTCTTGGAAGCATTTCAGTTGAGTGAGAGCTCTCATGATGGGCCTTGGTTGTGACCCCATGTGGGACAGGGATGGTTTTAAAAAGGGACAGGACATGTTTATTTATCAGTGTTTCCTGGGTAGTGATGTGCTTTGGCCTGCAGTTGGGGAGTAAAAGTTCTTTTGATCTGTTTCTGTTCTGAATATTTTTATTTTTCTTTCCAATCAGAAATTATGAACTTATTATGTGAATATTTTTTTCTTCTCTGAAGAGTTAAGGAGCAGTGTTTTTCCTTAGTGTAAATGAGGGCAACGTATTCCATATTATGCCAGTAGAAAACACTTGGTAAGTGATGGGGAGGCAGTGACTCCACCACTCCTTCACGGAATCCCAGCTCTTTGCCATCTGCTTTCCTTATGTTGGATGGTACTTGTGTGAGCAGCATCACCAACATGGCTCAGGATTTCTTCCAGGTCCAGGCTGCAGCTTTGTCCAGTCATGGTGTAATGTATGCTTTTAATTGATTAGCTTTATCTCCATAAAATTCTCATTCTAAATGCAGAATGATTTTTTTAATATAAATAATCACAAACTACATCTTATTACCCATATTTAGTGTTTTGATTCACATACTTTGGTTAAATATCTGTTTTCATATAAATCTACAAAGAACACAGACATTTATAAAATGGTTTCTTTCACTAGATTTTGAAGACTATCAGTGTCTCCTTACATAGTCTCTCCTAATAGAATGTTAACTCTGTTTTCAGTTTTCCATTTGTTCCTTCACCTGTTCATTGGATTTGGTGTTAGAAATTATGGCCCTTATTTTCCTCCTACTGCCAACTCTACTCACCTGTGAAGTGTCTGTCATCATGAATGTGATTATCAGCTTGGATACCAAATGACCTTGTTTTCACATTTTCTGTTTCAAATAAAATAAAAAAAAGATTAAAAATTCAATTTTACCAGTTCACAACACACATGTATACACACTCCAAATTTCCAAGACTCTGCAAGTTACCTTCCACCTCCATGGCTGAAAATATCACATTTCTAAAAGCTTAGAGCCCTGCAATATTTAAAATACTTGCACACAGCATCTAACAGAAACTTTTTCTATTTTTCAAATGCCCTCCTATTTTTTCAAAGTGGCCTTTATTCTTGTCTTCCTTATTTAAGGTCCACAGGTATGAATTTGTGAGCTCATACATATAAATTGGTACCTATTATTTGATTATAGCAATTTATCTTACAGATTCCCCACATAAAGGAACACTTCCTATACTTTTGATTTCATTTCCTGTAAAATAATATACTTAATGTATGAGATGGACAGATTTCAAAATGATTAAAATATACCATTCTTTTCTTTCTTTTTTAATTTTGATAGACCTTTATTTTATGTATTTATGTGCAGTTCTGAGAATCGAACCCCGTGCCTCACACATGCTAGGTAGGTGCTCTACCACTGAGCCACAGTAAATTCATTTTTTAAACTTTTAAATGAGAAATAATATGTATCTATTAGTTTTGCATTTTTGATTGCCTTACCTGGGGCTTATATTTTGAATATAAAAAAGTTTTTTTTATTTTATCGAAGAAATCTAATCCACTTATTGATATTATTCTTTCTTCTCAAAGATCACACACATTTTGCTTTTCTCATTTTTTCCTCTATATGCCTGAACTCACCCACAATCTCACTTTAGTTCCTCTCTACTGGTTCAACACAGAATACTTTCTTCCATTCATTAAACATAAAAAAGTTTCCAGTCTCACAGCATAGCCTCCTTCTGTATCTCATTGCTGTGTTTTCTATAGGCTTTACAGACAGGTGTGATTATGTTCTGAATACTTGAATTATTATGTTTAAGATGGTCTTTTGTCTTTAAAGATTAGCCCTTGAGTATGGTAGGGCAGTGACTTGAAAGGCTGAGACAGGATGGTGGCTAGTTCAAGGCCAGCCTCAGCAAGTTAGGGAGACCCTAAGAAACTTAGCACGACCGTGTCTAAAAATATAAAAGAAAAAAGGATTGGGGACATAGTTCAGTGCTAAAGTGCCCTTGGGTGCAATACTCAGTCCAGAAAACCCCAAGCGCTAAAGAGGTGTAAGGAAAAGCAGTGGATGTGAACTAAGTATTGTAAACTCCATTATTTAACATGTTAGATTTTCAGGGCCTACTCAGAATTAGGTAAAAGTGATTCTTTGTTCTTTTTGGTACTGAAGATTGAACTTGGGGCACTTTACCAGTGAGCCATATCTCCAGCCCCTTTTATGTTTTACTTTGAAACAGGGTCTTGCTAATTCTTAGGGCCTTGTTAAGTCCTTAGAGCCTCACTAAGTTGCTGAGGCTGGCCTCAAACTTGCAATCCTCCTCCCTCATCTTTCAACAGCTCTGGGATCACAGGCATGTGCCATTGCACTTGGCAATTCTTTGTTTTCATGCATGTGAACATTTTGCTGTCAGTTGCTCTATATATAATATATTGTTTAAAATGTGTACATTGTATATACCTGGGTTTCTGCTCTGGATGCTGGACTTGTTAAGTAGAAAGTTAAGTCTTTTTTAATATTTATTTTTTAGTTTTATGTGGACAAAATATCTTTATTTTATCTTTATGTGGTGCTGAGCATCGAACCCAGTGCCTCTTAAATGCTAAGCGAACACTCTACTATGGAGCCACAACCCCAGCCCCAGAAAGATATGTGTTTATCTTCCCAAATAGCAGAATGTTGCAGTATAAAGTGTATAAGTCAAGGCAGTGGATATGAGCTGAGTATATTAAACTCATTTATTTAGGTATCGAGGCTGTCACGGCCAATTTTAAAGATATTTTAAAATCATTTCCAATTCTTTTTTATTGAAATATTTTTATTAATTTTTAATTTTTTGATAGTTGTCCTTTTAAGTTATACATGATCATAGGATGTATTTTGACTCATTTCCAATTCTTTAGGCTCACCCTGTGATCCCACCTTCATCCTGGGCTGTGCTCCTTGCAATGTGATCTGCTCCATTATTTTCAAGAACCGGTTTGACTACCAAGATCCAGATTTTCTCACTTTGATGAACAAGATAAATGAAAACGTCAGGATTCTGAGCTCTGCATGGGCGCAAGTGAGGCCAAGATCCATTCTGCCTTAGAAACACTTTAGTCTTTTTTCTTCAGACACATCCAAAATAGTATATGGTGCTTGAGGTGATGTGATTGCTTGGATTGTACCTTCTTGCCTAGAGCCATGGAGCAAATATCTGGGAAAGGTTTTGAATTCTTTATTTGGCATGCAGGAATATGAAGGTGCACGTATAGAGCTGGGTTTTAGCCCACTCCAGTGAGTGGATATTTCTTTACATATGAAAAGCGTTGTTTTTGTAAGGCTCTTGGTGACTGCCCAAGGGATGACCATGTCACTCAGTGGACATCCTAGGACTTTTTGAAAGCTCCCATTGCCCACAAGGCCCGCCCATCAATCAACACTTGGAGGACTTTTCATCCAAACATGTGGCAGGAATATCTCAATTCAGAAAAAGTATATTTCCTGAAAGTAAAGAGAATAATAGGGACAATGAAACTTTGAGGAATCACTGAGTGGGGTAGGGGTTTCGATGTGCAGCTGCTGTCCTAGCTAAAAAGATCACTGGGTTAGGAGAGACTGCTCTAGAGGACAGTTGAGCTCCATGTATTTTTGGGCCACCTCATTCCACATCTGAAGCTGGTTGACAGAAATAAAAAGCAGGGACTAGTGTTGTGTTCTAAATCAATGTTCCCCATATCCCTTAATGTCTTTTGTTATCTATGAAATGTGAATCACATTAACTCATGCTGTCATATTTCATGTTTTGGGGAAAATTGATGTAGTAAAGAAGAGAAGTTGTATAAAATTAAGTTTTAGAATTAAGAAGTTTTTAAATTTCAGGAATGATTATCACTTGTGATGCTCTGGTAAGAAAATTCTCCCATAAATCATTCTATAAGAATGATTGAATTATATAATTTTCAGTAACAATGACACCTCAAGATAGACCCAAATTTTATTTACAAATAGAGCAATAAGTTCTTATGAGAACCGGCAACATGTCACCTATGTGTTAATTAAGTACTTTTTATAAATATATTATTGTTTTCTCTTCTAGGTCTACAATAATTTCCCTGCTCTCATTGATTATCTGCCAGGGCGTCATCACATTTTATTCAAAAATATTGATTATATTATAAATTATATTTTGGAGAAAGTGAAAGAACATGAAGAATCCCTGGATGTTAATGATCCTCGAGACTTCATTGACTGTTTCCTGATAAAAATGGCTCAGGTACAGTGTTGCCATCAGCCTAGTTTTTTGATTCCTTGATCATGTTGTGGTTTGCTGAACCCCTTTAAATTTGTAGAAATGTTACATGATCAGGACAATAGTGATTCTGAAGCACTTTGGTGACCCAGTGTATCATGAATCTCCATGAAGCGTCACAGAAAACATGCAATTATTAAATAATTAGAATATGCTGACTCTATTCTTTAGATAAAAATCTATGTGAGTAGAAAGAATGCACACCTAGGTATTTAAGAGAGTTAATAAATACACAAATTGTTAGTTAGACTGACTCAAAGAAAGAAGAGATGACACAAATTAATAATGAAACAAAAGGAAGGTTATGGCTGCCAAAGAGACAACTTCCAATCAAGTTATGACATATAAAATACCATGCCATGACATGAGGATGGAGTTCATCACTGCACAGGTTTTGGGACATGGAAAGGAGCAGCTTACAGGTACACCACCTGCATGTTCTGTGGACTGAAGCAGACCTTGACATGTGCAGCGTGGACAGCAGAGCAAATTGCAGATGGGTTGAGTCTTGTAGGTGGTGGTGTGGGCAAGAGTAGGTTCAGAGACGAGAGAGGCCTTGTTGAATGCAGCTTTAAGTGAAGTCACATATAACACATAGTTAGAGATGGTGTCTGTCAAGGACCCTGCAAGTAGGAATGGTTTGTCACTGCAGCATGCGTTAAAAGGTTATTTATTCCCATTGAATTTCCTTGGCACCCTGATCAGTTGTCTATAAATGTGAGGCTTTGTATGTGAACTCTCATGCTGCTCCATGATGGGTATGTCCACCCTGTGCCAGGAGGTTCACTATCCTGATGTCTTGTCCTCTTCGGTGTTCCTGTGTTTCATCTTTTGCAATAGGAAAGTGAGTTCTCCAACTGTGTTGTTGGTGTTCAGGACTTTTAGGCAATTCTAGGTCCCTTGAATTTTCATATCAATTTCAAGATGAGATAGTCAGTTTCAGCAAAAACTCAGTGTGGCATTCTGAAATGAATTTCAATAAATTTGTATCTCTTCATTGTCATTTAGAAAATTGAGATGAAATTCACATACCATACAGTGAACCTTCTTGAAGTTAACTTTATTGGTATTTATAGCATTTACTGTGTTCTGTGATTGTATATGTCTCCAGTTTCAAAACCTCTTCATTTTTTTCTCAAAAGTATATGCACCATGAAATGAACACACCCCTCTTCCACACCCCTGTACTCTGATTTCTGTCTGCATGGATGTGCCTACCATGGATAAATAATGAAAGACCTTGTGGCACATGCAACCTTTTGTTTCTGGCTTCTTTTATTCTATATAATACATTGGAGACTCATCTAAGTTGTAGCAAGTATCACCATTTTGCTCTTTTGTGTGGCTGAGTGCTTATGTTTTTTATTGGTGTACATACTATGATTTAAAATTTTTGATAGAATTCACCAGTATATTACAAAAATCCGCCTTTCTTTTGGGGGGCATATGATTACAAACTGTCTATCTTAAGTTGTTGCAGTTGATCATGTTTTGCATACTGACCTTGAATCAGTGTCTGTAATTTGTGTTTCTATTAAATTTTCCTGTTATTCAGATTATCTTATTTGCTGTTGTACAGTAATTTAAGGTAATCTCTTGTTGCCATATTTATTTGTGTAAAATCAGTAGTTTCCTGCTGTCATGTCTGAATTTAGTGGTTGGTGTCTTCTCTTTATTTGTGCTTAGTCCAGCTAATGATTTGGGACATTTGCCTACAGTTTCTGAGAAGCAGTATTTGGTTTGAGTGAGTGTTCAGCTGTTTTCCGACTCTGTTTTTCATTTCTTTTTTTTCTCCTCTCACAATCACATTGCCTTTCTAAGAGGTAATGAAGCTGTGTTTTACGTTTCTTTAGGCTTTGCATTCAGCCTGCTCTTATCTTCCTAGTCCCAGGTTGAGCTCTTGTCTTCCCTTTCATTGTAAATTCTGCCCCTCTAAGTTTCCCACTAAGAATTGTTTTTTTTTTTTGCTTCCTGTCAGCGTTTTGCTGTATAGTATTTTGTTTCCTTTGCATCTAGTTTTCCTAGTGATTTCCTACTGATTCCCTCCTTAACCCATTAGTTGTAGAAGAGCATATTGTGTAATGGAAGATTTCCCTTCTCTCCTTGAATTCTAGTTGCATTCTATTGTGATCAGGGAAGATCCTTTCTATGATTTTGTGTTTTTAAAATTTATGGAGAATTGTGTATGTCCTACCACCTGGACTGTCCAGAATAGAAGGGTTTATATTCTCTTGAGAAGAATGCATATTTTTCTAGTTTCTCTTCCTTTGTCAATGTTTACCTCATACATGTTGAGCTCTATTGATGGATGGATATGCATGTGCACAATAGTATTACATATTTTTGATAATGTCTTAACTGATCAACATTTTTCTATTGAAACGTTTAAATTTCCTCTCTTTTTCTTTGTTTTTATTTTTTTTTCTTATTATTTACCATGTGGTTTTCTCTTAACATGGTCAATGTTATTAGTCCAGGTTGAGTTGATTCTAAGCTTCAAATTGCATAGAGATAGTCTACTCCCATGCAAACTCATCTCTTTTTTTCTTGTTATTAGTCACAATCTATATCTTTATATAGTTTCCCAGTTTTAAAACACAGTTTTTTTGCATATTTCTTTATTATAGAAACTCAAAGAACTACATAGAAATCAAAGAGTATCAGAGCATATTTTCTATTAAACCATGTAGTTATTATTAATAATGATAATTATTTCTTAATATGACCTTGGTTTATTATCTATTGTTCTTTTGCTTTTTATTTTCTCCCATATTTTATTGTTGCATAATGTTGTATTTAATGGTGGGATTCATTTTTTCATATATGCACATGCACACAGTATAACATTATGATTTGGCCAATAACATTCCCCAGTATTTCCCTTTTTCCTCCCCTCTTCCCTCCCCATGATCACTTTCCTCTACTCTACTGATATCCCTTCCATTTTCATGAGATCCCACCACAACATTTTTTTCCTTTTTCCCGTGTAGCTTTCACATATGACTGAAAACACATGACACTCAATTCTCTGATGCTGTATATGAGAAAAGCAATTTCTGCATGTTTTTATTGTCTATTTGCATGGTATTTCCGTCTTTGCACATTCAGCTTGTGGATGTCTTTGCCTATAATTTGAATCTCTTGCAAATCATATATAATTTGATCTTTCTGGAAAAATCCCTTCTGGCCACCTATGTGTTTTAATTAGGGGAATTGAGACCATTTACACTCAATGTTATTGTATAGAGTTGATTATTCATTGCTGGCATTTTGCTTTATTTATAATGTTTAATTTAGTCCTTTTCCTCATTTGCTTAGCTGTTCTTTAAATGACATTTATTCTTTTGTGAGACTTGGATTTGTTTTTGATTTTTTTGTATAGTATTTCTTTCTGTATTTTCACTAGTAACAGCTTAGTAGTCATTAATTTTTTTAGTTTCTGCTTATCTCAGAACGTTTTTGTTCTGCTAAAATTCTGCTGGATAGTTTCGCTAAATGTAGCAATATTGGTTGACTGTTATTTTCTTTCAGGCATTTGGAATACATCATTCCAAGTCCTTCTGTATTTTAGAGTGTGACCTCCGAAATTAAAAGTAACTCTAATTCCCTTTCTTCTAAATGTGACATGAATTTTTTTTCTTGAGTGTTTAAAAATTCTATCCTTGGTTTGTATGATAGGTCTTTTCATTATAATGTTTTGTGGAGAGTTTCTTTTTTCAATCTTGTATATTTTGGTTTCTGAATGTATCCTGTGTCTTGATGGCCATCTTGCTCTCTGCATTTGGAAAAATTTCTGTTATTATGTACCTGAAAAGGCTATCAATTCCACTAGCCCACAGTTCTCACTCCTCTTCAATTCTAATGATTCTTAAATTTGGTTTCTTAGTGTTGTTCCAGAGTTTTTGTATATTCTGATGATGGCTACTTCTTTTCTTTTCTTTAACAATGTTTGAATTTTCAAGACTGACCATTTTTTCAGCATCTCTCTTCAGCATCATTTACTCTACAGAGAGACAGCAGGCACCAATTTTAGTACTGTCTGCTTTTGCTTTGATTGTTGCTATGTTTGTTTCCCTCTTTATTGAGAGATGATGGTAATCTCAGGGAAGTAGAAATTCATGGGATATAAATTCTGCTGCTGAACTAAACCTGATGATGAAAAGGGCACCTTCCTGTACACATAAATTACCAGAGTTCATCTCTAGTTTATTACAATAAATAGAAGAGAAAAACCAGTAATAGCCCTAAGTAGGAACGGCTAATGGTGGGCCTTTAAGTCTCATTCATGGAAATTCATTTCTAAAGCAAAAGCAGTGAATTAACATAAAGTTTGTTTATATCCCAACTATGAGTGGGTCTCAATCTTCAGAAGTCCAGGACACTTTGGCAGGATAAGACTGTGCTTTAAAAAGGCCTACACGTAAGAGTGGTAAAGAAATCCACTTGAACAGATGGATACAACACAGGAATACAAGATATATGAAAATACAAGGTAACACAAAGTTTATAATTCACTAGCTACTGACCCAAAAGATACTGAAGTGGATGAAATATTTAATAAATAAATAAAATGAATGGTTATAATATGGTCAGTCAATATGAAGAAAACGTAGAAAAGCAGCTATGTGAATTAAGGAAGTCAGTAGAGGATGTGAATGAAAAATTTGTGAAATTTATTGTTGAGGATTGGAATTTACCATTGCAATTGGTTGATTCATTAAGCAAGAACATTTTTCTGTTATAGCAAAGGCTGAATAGCATCATGAAGCCTTTAGAAATTCATTTACTTGATAGTTATTCCAATTAATTTTTGTAAAATCTATATTTATGGAGACAATCAATCACATTTCTGTTATGTCAGAAGCAGTAAAAGAAGGCTGATGGTGATTTCCCTAAGTCCTGTGATCCAATAAGTAAACCAGAAGAAATCATTGTTTAAATTCTTCATGTATTGCCAGTGGGGATGTCACTGAAGCCCATAATGTTTGAAGCAGTGGCCAGGCTCAGTGTGGACCATCAACAATCAAAAGATGCAACACTGATTATTGGAGGAACCTGTTCCTAGTTTTGGTGAGGAACAAGCAGACTGCACAGAAACACACTACACTATGCCCACAACTGTTTGTCCCAGAATTGGGGAATAGGGAGTGTCAGCTTCTATTTGAAATGCAAATTTACTGTAATTTTTCAGACACTTTCCTTATCAACTATTGCTGGATGGTGAAGATCTTTGCCTAGACTCCACTGCTCCCTAGAAGTTACTATAAATGGGTTACGTGAGGTTGACAGTTGCTTTCTTGGAAATGCCCGTTCCGGGATGTTCTGATCTATGATGTTTGTGACATCACTAAGTAATGCTTCCAGAACAATGTTAATATTTGATTGTGTAGCATGGAATGTGTGCCCATTTATTTAGTTTTAAAAGAATTTTCTAGGGACTGGAGCTATAGCTCAGTGGTAGAGCATCTGCCTTGCACATGTGAGGCACTGGGTTCGATCCTCTGAACCATATAAAAATAAATAAAGATATAGAAAAAAATAAAAATGAAAATAAGTATTATAAAAGAAATTTTATATGGTTTATATAAACAAGGCTAATTGTGATTGCATATGTGTCTATAAAAAGTAACTCTCCAAATTCATTTTAGGTGATAGAAACATTAACATTGGTTTTAGAGCACACCGGTTAACATTGGTCTATGACTGATAACTTGAGACTTACTTGATGAACTTTGACTTGACAGGCTCAATATGAAGTAGGTATTTCCAAGACATATACTGAGTTTGGTTACCCAGTATGTGTGTTGAAAGAGATTAGTTTGTTTTGATGGTGTTAATTACATATGTGAAGCATAACACAGCCACATAGAGATTATGAATTACTATGGTGGTCCTGAAACTACCTGTCAAATAATGTATTTTTTATAATGATGATCCCCTTTACTCAGTATTTAAACAGCTATAATGTTTTCAATTCATTTTCATAGTCTTTTCAGTCCAAAACTTTATCCTTGGTTTCTCATTACCCCTGCGCTGTCATATATCTAATATCATTTGGACAATTAATGTCTCAACTTCTTGTCTTTATGGTTAGGTGTCTTTTCAATTAATGCATTCTTATTCTTGTCCCCTAGAGCATTATATCTGTTCTCTCCTTTGTTCATTACATTAGAGCTGGCCCATCCTGTCTAGATGAACCTGTTCTCTTTCTCTCTGATAACTTCTTGGATTTGCTGCCATGATGTTCTCATACTTGTAGTTCATAAAAATTGTGGGTTCTATTGAGACGTTTTCAATTTTTGACAGAAAAGAACTGAAAACTCCTGTTCAGACTTATAACATCTACCACGATGTAGTACTCATTCACCTACTTTCTGTAATACAAATAAAAAACCTTTCATTTTTGACTCCCTATTTAAGATTGAGGCTTTCACTTTTATGATTAAGCCTCCACGTCCAAGGTGAGAGCCACCGGACATGCTCCTTCTGCTTTGGGGAAACAAACATGTTACACAGCTCATGGATCACACTGCAAAGAATCTCAGGTAGGAAATAGAGTGTAGGAAATGAAGTTTGGGTCAAGGAATATACCGTCCCTGCCACGACAAACAGTTATTGCATGTTTCAGGGTCTGTGCTGGCCAACTTTACAACATTATGAATTAATGTGGTTCACTGTATTTTCATCCATTGGCAAATGACATGACATGTAACAGTATCAAATCATTCCTAGGAAAAGGACAATCAAGGGTTGGAGTATACGTATGAAAACTTGGTATATGCTGCCTCTGATTTGTTTAATGCTGGCACAGAGTCAACAAGTACAACACTGAGACATGCTCTCCTGCTCCTGCTGAAGCACCCACAGGTCACAGGTATGAAACAGATGACAAGCAAGTGAACTGAGAGAGATGTTGGGAAGAAGTGCTTGGTCCTCACTTGTTTGTCTTAGAGAAGCTTCACTGTTTAGTTTTCTCTGCCACCAAGTGTGATCAGGAGGAGGGCTGAGAAAGTGAAGAGAGCATGGCAGTAGGAGAGGCAGTGGAACCCTGGTGCAGAGTCTGCATTTCATTGGAGGTGATTCGTGGTGGCAGAGCCAGCATCCACAGGCATGGGAATGTCTCCTGTTTGTATCCCCAAATTCCACTTGGTTCAGCAGATAAAGACTTGAAGATGCCTCTCCTCATTCTGCTAATTCTAATTCTGGGGTAGGGAAAAGGAAACTCCTTCTTGAAGCCTTGGTGGAAATCCTAGAATGTAATGAAGCTTCCTGATATGATTCCTCACTTGGAAGTATTCTATTCATGTATACATGTCAGAAAGGTAGTTTAATTTTGGCAGATCTGTTCCTAATTTTTTAATTCATCATTTCAACAGACTGCTTCCATAAAACTTGTGTTTCATGGAGTAAGAACTTTCTTGAGAGATGGTCAAAAATATTATGTTTTATCAATACCACTTAAAAATCACCTTTAAAGGAATTTTGTTCCTGCAGTAGCAATAAGCATACTTTTTTTGAGTCTTGTGTGAGGATTCCACTAAAAAGATGGCAACACATTTATTTGTTAGACTTATTCTCTTTCAAGCAACAGAGGACGGGAACAATAAACACTTTATATACTCTTCACCAAGTTTCTTAATCATAGAAGGCAGATTCAAGGATGGTGATGGAATCTAAAAGGAGGATGGTCTTGTAACCTGAATATTAGAAGAGGAAAATTTATGAAGAAAGAAAAGCAAACTCTGTTCTTAAAATTCCAACAAGATTCTCTTGTTTGGAAATAACAGGAATCAATGAAGGGAGAGTGAGGTTGAAAAGGGAGGCTTTTCTGCTCAGGCAAATCCCTTGTCAGCTAATAGCATTAAACCATTTTTTTTCACATCTTCACTTATGAGGTGACAAATATTTTCTTTGCAGGCAAAGAATTGCAAGGGAACATACTGAGCCTGAGAATTCATTTCCTAAGGGACCTTATGTAGTGGCAAAGAAAGATTGAGGTGTGGGGCTGAAAGGAAGCTTTTGGAGAATCCGAGCTCTTCCTTCAACATCAGAAAAGTCATGTGCTCTCAAGGGAGGGAAGAACTGTGGCGTAAAGACTTTCATATTTTGCATCTTAGTAGAAAATTCTTCCAATCATCCATCAGAGAGAGTGAAATAAAAGCATCCACCCAAAACACAGTGTTTTAGCATTGCATATCACAAGGGATGAAGAATTCATTAAAACATTCAGAGAAATATCCCATGACTTATGTGAAACACCAGGGCAGCACCATGATTCTTACAAGTAACTAATATCTTGTTATTTCATAGAATAGGTGTATTTCAGACCTGCACATTTGCGAAAATATTATACCATTACCCCTATATCTCAGAAAATTACTGGAGAATGTTGCATCTAAATGTCTATAAGTCAGGAAGCCATGGGCTCCAGGAATGGGATGAGAGTGTTGGGGAGACTGCTGGGTGCTGGACCTGGGAAGCAGCCTTCAGCATGAAGGTGGATGATGCAGATGACAGGAGAGAACTCAGGAGCAAAAGGGATGTAAGGAATAGTCTGAGGTTTCCTACAGCTAGACAATGATTCCTGCAGTATAAAACATCTACCTGAGCATCTTGAATAATCCTAACTCAAAATTGGAAAGTGATGAGCTCACATAGAGCAACTGGGAGAAGACCAAGAAAGCACCAATAATGTAACATAATCATAATTTCATATAACAGATAGTATGTGTATATATCAGAAGGTCGTACCTCATGGATGTTGATATAAGCAAAAACTACAGTCTAATATATCCTCGTGAATAGAGTCTGGTGGGCAATCGTGTGTGTGTGTATGTGTGTGTCCTTTCCCAATTTTGTGCTTAACTCATTGAGTTATGCAAACTCTCATTTCCACATACCTGGAAATCATTAAGTGTTGTGTAATAATGCACACACAAGAAATAGAGAATCATTATTTGAATATGACTTTAAATTTCAGAACAAAGTGATAGAGTGCTGAGTGTCTGTGGCTAAGATGTGGGAGGATAGAGCTGGGATTGGGCTCATTTGTAGAGCGCTTGCCTGACATATGTAAGGTACTGGGTTTGATTCTCTGCACCACATATAAATAAATGAATAAAATAAAGGTCATTCAACAACTAAAAAAATATTTAAAAAATGATGTGGGAATATGATGGGAGTTCCACTGCAAATTCCTCTCATACAAAACCTTCATACATATATATATCAATCTATTGTACTTTATATTAAACATATATTATTTTCATGTAAATTTAGTATTTAATTTCCATTTTCTTTCTACCAGAACTGTAAATCCTTGATGTGTATATATTCTGTTAAATTTTTTGTAAATATTATTTAGTTCTACTTATATTAATTCTTTGGGATGCTAATTTATAAGTATGGTCCTATTTTTTATTTTATTTACTTTCTTTGCTCCTATTTACTGTAAAATGTAGTTTAATGAAGTGTGTGTGTGTGTGTGTGTGTGTGTGTGTGTATGTGTGTGTGAATATAAATGATATTCCCAGAGGCACTAATTATATATGTAAGTGTGCCTCTGGGCATATCATTTATATTCATAATGCTGTTGGGACCTCTTTGTCCTGCTTCTCATGATACTCAGTTACTATGACAAACGTGCCCTTTCTCTCCTATCCCCTCATTTCTTTTTTGTGTCTTAACAGCTAAAGTCCAGGAAGAGATTCAGTGTGTGATTGGCAGACACCGCAGCCCCTGCATGCAGGACAGAAGCCGCATGCCCTACACAGATGCTGTGTTGTATGAGATCCAGAGATACATTGATCTCCTTCCAGTCAACCTGCCCCATGCAGTGACTTGTGATGTTAAATTCAGAAATTACCTCATTCCCAAGGTAAGCTTGTTTGTTCTGGGCTGCGCCTCAGTGTTCTTCCTGGTCCCAAATCCATAGCAGGATTGTAATTCTCTAACACACAGGATGAGACAAGTTGCAAAACATTTGGCTACTTAATGACCTGTGTGCAGTTTCTAGTTTGGGTATAAAGCTTTCTAAGGGGTGGCTGTATCTGGCCATGTGAGACTTCCAAATTGGTTTTACATTTTAAACATTGTTTTTGCCATTATTAAATGTCTACATTTCCATACCAAGGTTAAAAATTTCGTGTTAAAGGGTGTGGTGGCTTGTGTAGCTTAGGAGGTTGAGGCAGGAGGAGTGCAGGTTCTAAGCCAGTCTTGGCAATTTAGCAAGGCTCTAAGTAAGTTAGATAGACCCTGACTCAAAATATAAAATAAAAAATGGCTGGGGATGTAGCTCAGTAGTTAAGTAGTGCTGCATTCAATTTCTGATTAAAAAACTAGTTTGTTAATTCCCCAAGAGATTTCTTAGGTTTTCCTCATGAGAACAATAAACCTATAGACAAATTAAGTAAGAATTGATATCTTGATCTGTTGATTCTTTAAATTCATGATTATATTCTCAATTTATTTTTGCTTCATTTAATATTCTCAGTCATGTTTTTTTCAGTTCAGTGGCTCATAAATATTTTGTTATTTTTTTCCTGTAAAATGAATATTTTTGTCCATGCTATGTCGTTTAAACACATCATGGCTCTTCTTTCTAACATCATTGTGATGATGTTACATCTAGTAAACTTAATAACTTTCCTAGTAATTGCCAATGGTTTGTCTGAGACACATTTGAAATGTCAGTGTTTTTTATCCTCTTATCTGAATCTATTTGATGTATTTCCTGTTTTTATATCATTAAATTCTCTTTATTGCATTACTGCCCTTTATAGGATACTTCATCACATTGAACAGAACACATGATTGCAGTCATTCTTTTTTTATTTCTTATCTACAGGAATGGTTAGAGGCTTACTATCTCATTGCAGAGAAGGTTGTTTTACATACAATGTGGTAGATGTTCTTTTTCAAATGAGGGAAATTTTCTTCTCTTAATTTCATATAAACTTTGGTCAAGAATGTGTGTACACAAATTGATTTTCAGCATCTGGGAGATACATTATATGATATTGGATGGATTTTCTGCAGTAAATATACAAATTGCAAATACATACACAGAGCTGGATTTGACCTATCACATGTTTTCATGACTTCAGTGCTTATAACAGATTTTTTGTCAATAATTTTTCCTTCAAAAATTTCTTAGATATTAGATATCAACATGGTCCTAGCTGCCTAAAAATATGTGAGAAATGTTCCTTGATGTAGGTATGTTTCTTCCTTCTGATGGCCACTTTGTCATATGCTTGAAATGCCAAATCTGTTTTGGTGAGGAACCAGGTATCACATGGGGAAAAATGTAAAATTTCAGAGCTTATATTCTTCCAGAAAGGGTTAATTTCTTTCCCATAAATGGAAAGAAGGTTGTAACACTTCCTTCCCTCATCTTTAGTAGGACAGCATATGAACATAATCACATTGTGCTATTCCTTTTCCTCTCTGTCTCCCATTTATGGAATCCATCTTTCTATCATCTATCTATCTATCTATCTATCTGTCTGTCTGTCTGTCTGTCTGTCTGTCTGTCTATCTATCTATCCATCCATCCACACAGGGGATCAAATAAGAACCTTGCACACACCAGGCAACGTTCTACCACTGGGCCTCATTTCCAGCATCCACATCTGAAGTCTTGAGATGATTTTTATCTGTGAAGTGCTAACATTCTTTCTACCACGTTTTCTGTGATCATCCAGAAAACCTACTTGCTGTTACAGAGTAGATTTTAAAATTTGAGATCAGAAAATATCACTATTATATTTAAAATAATATAAATAAGAATTGTCTTTTCATTGGAAAAATCTGGTAAGATTCATTAAGTTGCACCTATAAAGGCTGTCCTAGGGAGAAGACTGATGGCTTCAGGTGAAGGAAGGTCATGGGGCTTGCTCTTGTATTTAGTGTAAGGATTAGGACCTGAATTACTCTCTTTCTAGCAGAGGAACAAAGAGGAGATGGTGTTTATTTCTTATTGGGATGAGAGGATAAAATTAATGAAGGTTGATTGCCTCCTTATGTGCAACTAAATGGGAAATAGACTGAAGAGTCAGGCATTGTCAGTCCTCCTTATCCAATGCGTCTGCTTTGTGGACCTCCTTGATGATCCCATTCAGCTCACTGAATGGCAGGTTATGATATGGCTGGTATCTTTGAAGTTTATAGAACTGTAGCCTCAAGAGAATGATCCATTTATGCTCTTCTTCTTGAAACAGTCTGGTATAGAATTTTTCAATCCTTGGTTGCCATTTTCCAATTAGATAAATTATTTTTCTTCCATAGGCTGAAATCAATGGTGTCAGTGGAGATAACACTCTAATAGGAGTTGACTAACTTCTTTTGTAATTGTCTACAGCCAATATGGACTTTGCAGGATACCAGGATTCTGTTGACATTGTAACATGGAAGCAGTTATAGGCAATCTATAGAGCATTCTATAGCACATGACCAAGTTCAATATTATGGAAACTGAAATAATAATTTCACAAATATTTTTTTATGTAAAAGTATTCTTCTTTTTCTTTCAATTTAAACATTCTTTGCTCACTGGTTATATGAAAACACACGGCAGGCTGCATTTTGTGGACTTTGTTGTTCAACCCTCTTATGAGACACATTGTTCCAGTCGACTTTCTATAATCATATGAGGTCAATTTGTAGATTTCTGTCCTATCTGAAGAGAATTTGCAAAAACCAGTTCTCAAAGATTTGCCCTTGTCTTTTTGTAAAAGTTGTGTTGTTTAGCTCTTCGTTAATTGACCAATTTTTCTTTTACCTTTTGCTTGGTGGTATTGTTCTGCTTCATTTTCTTTATTTGTGAATTTCCATATGTTCAAACAACTTTTTCTAAACATATATCCACCATCATCTTAAGGAAACCTTGTCATATATCACAACTTTAATTATACTTAAAGGAAGAATTTTAAAATCACATTGATACATGATTTTATTTATTTATTTATTTTTTTGGTGCTGGGGATTGAACCCAGGGCCTTGTGCATGGGAGTGAAATGCTTTTATGTTTTTTTTTTGAAATATCAGGGGATTAAATTTTTCCCACTGGTATATTTTTTTAAAAAAATTGGAATCTAAATAAAATTTAGAAGTGTATTTATACTTTAATATCTGTCCATTAAGCTATTTACTTATAGACTGGTGCCTCAAGTCATTTCAAGAATGATGATTTTTCTCCTACACAGTAGTCATTGCATTTATACTCAGACATCATTCACACTATAATACTAACAGAGGCCTATGTTTAAATTAGCCCATTAATTTTACAATCTCCTTGTAGATTTTTCTTGTACAATTTAGTGTCCAGTTAAAGAACAGACATGTAATGTGATTATCTTTTCCATTTACTGTCCCGTAATCAGGGTTAGTAGTTCCCTTTCCTGTACTTGTTTGTTTCCTTTCATCGTGTTCGCCTTACCAAGGAATCCAGGACAGAAGTCAAACATTCCTGAGGCTGGCTTTGTATGGTAGTTTTCTATGGATTAGATTCTCATCGTGAATTTGGGAAGAAAACTACATAAATGTCAATGAAAGTGTCACTGAATCACATGGTGAGGTGGGAACACCTCATGTTGTAAGGGTATGGCGAAACGTTGGAGTAAGAGACCATAAGAGACTGTCTTATGTAAAAGCAGAAGGGTGGGTTTATTTGGAGACCAGTATGTTGGGGCTCCCTCTATAGCAAAGAGAGAGAGAGCCCTGAGAATAGCTTGAGCAGAGCTTATATATTTTCCATGGAGAGGGTAGGGAGGGAAGTTCATTGATGGGTCAGGGTGAGTGGGCAGTTTGCCTGTAACCGAGTGAGGGAGTGCATCCTGCAGTTTGGCAGTTGGGGACAGCACATCCTGGGAACAAGATTAGCAAAGAGTTCACAGTTGGGGACAACACATCCTGGGAACAAGATTTTAACAGTGTTTTGTTAAGCATATAGAAAAACAGAGTGACAAGTACCTATTTTATTAACCTTTCATTTTTCATTTTTTCTTCTGGTTATTTTTAATTATAAAAGTGATTATTGGGGGGTGTCACCTTCTGTGTCTGCTAGTGGGGTATATTGTTGTCTGATTACCATAAGTTTGACTTGTTTAATTTGGGATTGGAGAAAGGAAATTACATGATTGAGCAAACAGGGTCCTAGAGTTAGCAACAATATAAGAATTATTAGAGGGCCGGCCAGGGCTGATAAAAGTGTAGTTAACCAGGGGGATTGTGTGAACCAAGACTCGTATCATCCTTTTTGGGCATCTTTTTCTCTCTGATGCTCTTCAAGGCGTTTTTTTAGTTTACTTATAGATTCTCTTATAATTCCAGTATGGTCGGTATAAAAACAACATTTTTCTCTCAATGTAGCACAAAGGCCCTTTTCTCTCATGAAGAGGAGATCTAATTCTCGCCTGTTCTGTAAAACAACTTCAGAGAGAGAGGTTAAAGATTCCTGCAAAGCTGTGATGGAGGTTTCTAATATCTTTAAGTTTTGGTCTATTGCTGTTTCTAATTGGGTCATTTGTTGTGTCCCATGGACCAGGGTGGTGGTCCCTGTGCCCACCCCTGCAGCAATTCCCATTCCTAATAAGATGGCTAAAGTGAGGGATACAGGTTCCCGGCGAAACCGGGTTGTATGCCTTTTTATTTGATTTTCAAATGAATCTGCGTCATGATAGAGCATTCTGGGAAACATCTGTACCATTACATAATTAATCATATCTGTTGATTATTTTATGAAAATATAAATAATGTTTAAGTATATAGAATTATATTGTTGTAGGGACGGACAAGGCAAGGCACTTAAGATAGCATTGAAGACAGGGAAACAGTTCTATTGTAATCAATTAATTTCTTGAATCCCAAGTTTAGGTA